GAGGTGTTGGGCAAGGACCCTACTGTTCACAGTCATCCTACTTCGTCCCCTGTTAAGGTTGCTCGTATCCAGGAGATTGAGAACATCGAGAAGTCCTGTGTCTCCGTCTTCTATGGTGCTGGTGCCGACTCTAAGAACCGTGAGAAGGTTAAAGCTCTGACGAAAGCCGATGTGGTCTATTGTGGTAAGAACCGTAGAGGGAAGCCGTATTGTATATTCGGGTTCCGTAAGGAGACCTCGATGCCTGATGGAGACTTTCTCAACGGCCAGTTTTTCGTTCGACCCTATCGTTGCCGTCAATCGTCTGGGGGTGAAGGGTTTCGACTCTCACGAGGATTGACTGATAAAAATTCTCAAGTAGAGAAGAGTCGGGATGTGGTTGCCCATGCGGTTACTGGTGGTGGTATTATTCCCCCTGAGATCGTGTTGAAGGCTCAGTTCTCTCCCGATTCTAGTCCTGGTGAGTGGTATCAAGTGGATGCTGTAGTGGATACTGGTGCTGGACTTTCGTATTGGCTTGGGAATGAAGTTCCGTGCGACCCCAGCGAGAAGGTTGATGTGTCTATTGTTGAATTGGCAGATGGTACTGTAGTCAACGTGGGGAAAGAGATTGTAGGAAGGATCTGTTTGCGTGGTGGTAAACTTGAAGTTCCAGTGTCCTTCAATATCTTTCCTTCCAGCACCCTCGGTACCATATCTGGAGAATGTTATGGTCCCTTTCGTGTACTGCTTGGTCGTGAAGTACTTAATAAGCTTAATATTGTGGTTTCTGTGCCACCAGAGGCTACATTGGAAAGTGATTTTCCGGATACGTATGGTGTGTATGTGGTTGACGATTTGGACCCCAAGAATGGTGTAATTCCTCTCGTTCCCCCGCCTACTATGTCCGGTGTTGATTCTCTCTCGGTTGTGCCCACTCCCGAGGAGCAGAGCATTGTTACTGCGGCGTTGAATCGCCTTTGTATGTTCGATTGGCGTCCTGTTCCTTACGCTCCGAAATTTGAGTTTCGTTTTCGCCCTCTTTGTCCAATTGAGATCATTGATATCCCAAGACAATCTGTGACGTGCGAACT